ATATCATTTGGGGCATTGGCTACTTTTTGGGTTACATATTATTTATAAATATATTAGTTGATTAAAAATGCACTTTAATTAAAATGGTGTTTCGTTGCTTTTTATTAATTAGAGACCCAAATGAAACAAATATTTGTGTTTTTCAAATAAATTTTCGTTTGTCTCTTTTATAATAAATGAATTTATCTATTTCTAAGTAAAAATTGAAAGTGTCTGTAGAAATAATTTTTTAAAATATTCTTTTTCGTGATAAAGTTTTAATACTTATTACTATCAATATAATCTAGACAAGTTAATCCTTAAATATACTTGTATATTTAAGGATTGGGTTACAAATATATATACTTGTGGCCCAAAACTCCATGACTTCTTTCAATGTGGTCCAGAGGAACAAATAGGTTGGACACCCCTGGTATAGATAATGTATTATTGAATTTAATAGCCTGTTAATCTAACACTGACTTATAAAACTAACTTTTACTGTATTAAATTTAAAGTTTTATTATATATGACAAATATATATTATATATAAGTTATCAATAACTTATTTAAGTCATACAAAATAATGATAAAATTATTTAAAAGTAGAACTCACCTTAACAAATTATTATTATATATTCAAATGCTTACAATATTTCAATAAGTTTGCAATATTAGGTATAGTTAGCCCAAAAATTGTTAAATATACGAGGTTAGGATGTTTATATGCTATAGTTTATAGTATAGTCTGTAGCACTGGATCCAATTTACAGTATGTTTGTAGTATGGATGTACTGTACAGTACATTGAATCTAACCAAAGTGCAAAAAATTAGTTAAATGAATTAAGTTGCAAAACGCTGATAAGAAAGGTATAAGTTTATGATCAGTATTTTGTTACAAGCTATATTCAGTAATCGTATATTACATTATATAGCCTATACAATAAATTGTTGTGTGTCTAATAAATATATACTACATTATATATATATAATATAGTAGGCCTATAGGCCTATATTTATTAGACACTCAACAAAATACTAATATATTATACAACAATAAATTTTATATTATACCGTATATGTAAAACAAAATTAATGATATGAGGTTCATCTAGCAACCCATCGGTTTATAGTATCATAAAATTTTGCATTAAGAAAGAAGTAAATGGACGAACGTGAAGTGAATATATCATTTCTGTTCTCTAGATATTAAATCAAATTTCCAAGAAATTTATAATTTTATGCTTAGAAATAACATAATCGGATATAATCTTTTGAAAAATTATGCGAGAAAGCCATCTGGGATGCGGTCATAAAAGTTTCAAATGCTAATTTTCGAGAATTTTTATAGGTGAATGACAATAAAATAAATGAAAATGCTACTTTTAAATCTCTATAATTGATTTATTATTATTCGACGAAATATTTAGAAATATTCTAACAATTTAATTCATTATTTATGTAGCTTATTAACTTTTTCACAATAGTTTTATTAATAAATAATCTTTAGAACTGCTTATTTCTCACAAAACACTAAGCCAGAGTTACGGAACTTGAAGTCTCGTATTGCTTCTAGTTTGATCTGAAAATGATACAATATAAAAATAATTTTTTAGACATTTATTTTCATTTTATAGATAAATTAATTTTTTAAATAAAGACATTTAACTAAATATATGTATATTTTTTATGCAAGTATGATGAGTATATATGCAGTTCAACTTTCAAAACATATATATGACTTTATGAAATGTCTTTGAAATGGAATGTGGCCTCCTAATTAAAAAAAAAAAAAAAAAAAAAACGTTTTCACCTCTGCACTAAACAATTCCAAAGGTTATTTATTACTAAGCACTTAATAATAACAACAACAAATTCGGAAAGAGTTTGTTATTATAAAAAGTTTAAAAAATGAACATTTAGAATAAAATCAAATTCTTAAAAATAGCTGAGATATCATCATATGAATACTATTATTATATTCTGAAGTAATCGAAAACAAATAAATCCATTGACGTCATTAATTTTTAAAGTTCGTACACAAAGAAGATATACAAGGTTTTTTCTTTATTTTAATTACAAACTACTATATATAAAAAGTGGAAAGAAATCGCCGCAACCTTCTTCGAAAATACATTTAACCATTATTTTTATAAATGATTAAATTATAGTAAAATCTCACGTATGTGGCCTCCTTCGAGTCACATAAGTGATATGGTCACCTAGGTATGGAGTTTCCAGGCACTTGGGGATAAAATCCGAGACAAGATGAGTTGTTTCCAAAAGATACCGGAACGCTTTAATTCCAGGACATGCAATAGATATGTATTTTTATTCTGCCAATGACAGAAATACATTTTAAATGACACTTCATTGTAGGAACAGTTTTTAGAGTACAATTCTCTTTTTCCTAGATGACAGTCGGAAAAAATCCGGGACAAAGTACCGTATTGAATCCTGCTGAACGTTCAATATAGATTATAAAAGTAGACGAAAAAATGAATAAATAAATAACATTCACACAATACGATACTTACGAGTACAGTATATACTTTTCAATACAAAATAATTCAAATTTCCATACAGGTATTAACACTAAAAAATAGAGTATTGAAATACAGAACAATGTACAGTGAATGTAAACTGTTTGCAGTAGGATTCATTCAATTACTGTACAGCACTAAATGGAATATTAGTTTATATCCATAGATAGAATCAATATGTTTATAAAATAATAGTAAAGGTTTTATTTAAATATAAAATATTATAGATAAAATATATAATTGTCCTTTTTCTTACTAAATTCTAGAGATAACTTAAATTGCGGAGTATAAGATTTATTTTCTTTTAAAGTCATCTGTCAGACAGATCTGGGCAAACTATTCCAAAACTATAGCAACAAAGCTCAATTTATTTAAAGCGCTTTAGACAATACGTTGAATTTAAGAATGCATGGTTTTTTTATTCTTTTGGCTACGTGAACGGGTATAAATGTCACTTTTTGACACTCCTATTTTGGCCATTTAAATGTGACGACCACCAATACGGAGTTTGATTTATATTAAAACTTATGCAGTTTAACGGGGGTATTTCAGCAGTAGTCACTTAACTAAGGTAGTAGCAACGAAGCGAGGTTTTACTGTAATGACAAAAAAATTAATTTATTCCTAAGTTTACATAATGATATAGCTATGCGAAATAACAAATTAGGAGTAAATTAATTAAATATTAGCTTATACAATTATTAATCATTTTATGAAAATTATACAAATAGAAGTAAGAAAAATATNATAAATAGAAACATTACACATACGTTATAAATAAATATTAATTTATCTATTAATAAAATGAAATTATTAAAAGTCTTTCTTGTTTATAAAAGACAGTTTTTAAATGTCATACACATTAATTTTTAAAGGTGCATTCATTTTGTCCAAATAGTGTATGTCTATTTGACGTCATTCTTCTAGTTTTCTTGTGAGAAAAGTAATAATGACATCGATTTGACTTAAAAGTATGCACTATTTAGACAAAAGGAATAATTCAAACATTTTAAATCTAGATGTCGTAAATTTCGGCATGATAAAATATATATTTTCTATTATATTTTAAAATTAACTTTATTATGGTTTTAACATAAAAATATAAAACTTTTATAGTAGTTACCACAAATATTACTCTAAAATTTATATAAAAAAAGCATGAACAATTGTGGTCACATCAGTTTATAAAGATGATGAACTCTATTCTTCGTTTGAAGAAATTAAGGAAGCAATTATCAAAATTTAACAAGAAATTGACAAAAGACTTCTGGAGTAATTAATTATCAGTATAAAGGGGCCGTCCATTAGTTATGAGTATGGTTTAAGAAAGGAGGGGGAAGGTCGCTTAAAGTAAGATACATCACTGTAAACGATAGGGAAGTGAGGGTCGAAGCGTTGTTTACGTGGAATTTTTTGGTGGCATTGATGGCATTAAAATGTTCTCTTATAGGCCTTCTTACAAACCATGTGGATAAACTACCAGTTAGAAAATATTTGCAGAACTTTTAAAGTTGTTTCTTTGATGTCAGGGAGTCCACGAGCTATTGTACTGTACAGTGCATCTTATTAAAGGAAAGTACTGTACTGTACTGTACATCAATACTGTATACTGTACACAACATAACAGGGAAGGCGTCAAAAAGTGGCTCAGAAACTATACACATTTACAAATTGGAAATACATTAACTCTATATATTTTTAAAATTTACCACTAATATTTAACTCAGATAATTTATTTCATTTTATTAAATAGTAAAAACTCTAAAAAGTTTCAATTGAATCTACGATAATAACGACTATAACTTTTTATATTTCTTTAATCACAAATGAATTTTATACACATACATTATTCAATTATATTGTGAAACTTTCACCTATAAGTTCATTAAAACAAAAATATAAATAATACTATATTGTTTCTCACTGTATATACAAAGATCAAACTGAAATACTATCTATAAATTACTATGTATTAACAGTTAAAAATGTATATGCAAGTTATAATATTTTGATAAGTTGAATTCAGCAATTAAAATGATTATTTGATTGCATATTTAAATTTACCGAACAGTTAAAAATAGTTTAATAAACACTGAAAAATAAATTAATAAATGCATTAAAACATCAAATATTTTAAAATATAGACAGTATTTAAATATACTATGTGTAATATATTTTGCAATTTGTATACTCTTTGTATATTATATATATTTAATTCTTTTAAAATATACAGTTTGTTATATTATACATTTCTTATACAATCTATTGTATGAGAAATACATGCGGATTACAATTTAATAATCCAAGCTATTTATATTAAAATGTATTTTATTAATATTAAATGCGAGATAAAATATAAATCATTTAAGATAATGATATTGCACATTTTTCCTCAAAAGATTGTAATATTTGATACTAAAATGTTGTTTATTTAACAAGTTTAATGCATATGAAATTTAAACGTTTGTTTATTTTAAACAAACACTGACAGGATATATGCTGATATCAACTTCTTAAGTACGATTTTCCCCGCAATTAATATAAATTTTCGACGATAATAATGATGTTTTAAGTTTAATGTATTTAATTTGCATCTTTTATTTTTCTTGTATTTTCATTCTATCTTGTATTTAGGAAACTATTAGATATACATCGATAAATTATGTCTAAATAGGATATGCATTTCGAGCTTTTGATTTTATTTATTTATTGTGAATGAAAAAGGCGGGAATATGGTTTAGATTTTTTAAAAATTGATTGAAATAAAAATATTAATATTTTTAAGGAAAAAATTTTTATAGTTTTACTTGGAAAACTCCCAAAAATTATATTTAATAATATTTCCAATATAAAGGTTATCTTGTTAGAAAATTTTGCGACTTTGCCAATGACAACTCAGTGATTCAAAATAAAACAAGCTTCACTGTGAATACTTTTATAAACTTAAACCCGTTGCTCGGATTTATAATTTAAAATTGTAAATATTTCAGGTGCAGAGATTGCCCATTTCCGTACGCAAGAAGAAATTACACAGATGGAAGATGCACTTGCGATTGCTTCGATCGCCATAAACCTTGTTTGAAGGTTAAAAGAGGAAGAGAGGCGTTATCCGAAGTAGAAAGAAGGTACTTAAAATAATATATTAATTATGATTTTTAAATTTTAAAATAATTATGTGACCTTCCAGATGCGTCGAAATTCATCATTGCCATAGACCCGAATGCGAATACGGCGATTTCGACGTAAATACAGGAAAATGTCCTAAAAGACCGGACGATTTTCATCGTCCTTCACACAAACGGCACAATCCAAATTATCCTAGCAGATGGACTCATATCGAAAGAGATTAAAAATTAAGATTGAAATACGCAAACAGATAACCTAGTCCAACATTCTAGAGGACATCTCGACTTTCGCCTTGTCCTCGTCAAATACGAATGTTAGATATTATTATCTGACATATACTGCCAGCATTGCTCAGGACTGTGTAAATACAGTAGTTGGGTTGATAATCCAATAGAGCAAATTAGTTTTTCAACAGAATTATTATTAGCAGACATATCTGCCTGAGAAACGGAGAATGATATATTTTCGCTCTTTCTCGTACCAAAAATATCAAAAAAAATAAAAAAAAACAAAAAAAACTTGGCTGTTACGCGTGAAGAATTGCAGAAAATGCAAAATAATTGAAAGTTTTTAAACGTATTACAAGGAATTTCCGTCCTTTTTATTATATTATTTTTTTCCGCATGTCAAAGCCGAGTGCAAAAATCGATGACGTGCCTCAAAGTTTGAGGTGTATAAAATATTTTTCAAGCGATTTGCATATATGCAAAACGATATATTAACAAGAAAAGAGTCGTATTAATAAAGTTTTAAGAATGATCATTTATATATAATTTACAACAATATTTTTTAAATGTCGAGAAGCTTCAAAGTAGAAGTTCTGCACATTTGTGAAGATGCTTTCTGCAGCCTAATCACACCATTATTATTAAACGCCACAAAATTAATGATCTGATACCGTGTAAATGTAACTATCTCTTGCGTGTTTAGCGTTCAAATGTGAAAACGTCCAATTTAGAAACAGAATGAAGTTGTGCATTTTGTATATTGTTGATAATTAGTTAAGCCTCGTTAAACATTAATTAAGAATTTGTAATAAAATTTTTATTTTATGTTCTATTAAAATATTTATTTATTTATAATGTATGTAAATTTAACACCGACATTTTTCATTTCCATATTTCGATATTATATACAGTATACGTTGTGATATTATTTATATTGAATAAGAACATCTGAAATCTTCTTTATAAGTCAATTATAAACTTGAAAAAAATAATTAAGGAAGAAAGATCTTACACGATTGCATTGAAAACGTGAAAAAACTAGAAATAGAGCAATAAAAGTTATTTTTATTGCTATCTGTGCCAATAAAAATAACTTTTGATTCCAGCTTCAGGAAGTAACTTGTGTTCTCTCAATTATTAACACTTAATTTCGATTTAACTTCATATTTAATTTTTTATAGACATAATTTGATAGTAATAAACATTTCCACTTAGATTTACACATTTCTAAACTAAAAAATAAAAACAAAATTAGAAACTTTACTACAAAAATTCATAAAATCTCATTGTAAAAAAATCCTGTCTAATCAAAATTTTTATACCTTAGAATTACAAATATTTTCATTTTTAAAGATACAATTAAATAAATACAGTGATTTTTTCCATTAAATTCTTATTAACATTTACTGTAGAATTGTTATACAGGATGGGGCATATATTCGGTTTGTCCTGACGGGAAAACAATGTAATTTTTGAACAGTTTGTTAGAAACGATTTGTGTTTGAGAATTTGAAAGGGGGACAGTTAGTGCACACTGTACAAGTAAGCAAACAATAAACATAGAATTTGGTTCCAGATTTATAACTCTGGTCGCACCGGAAAAGGCTGGAGGCGATCCCGTTTAACCCCGATTTAAACCCTCTATACTTGGCAATATCGGACAACTAAAGATAAAATTTCTCTCCAATGGCAACTTTCAGATTCTTTAGAAGTGCATCAGAGATGTAATGAAAGAAATTTCGGCAGAGATCAGACGACGTATTATTGACCAATTTTATGAATGCCTACAGAATTTATTTTTGTCTGACGGCAAACATTTTGAATATTGTATTTCATAGTCCGTTTACTACTAAATTAATTGCATTTATACTTTTTGAAAAATTTAATTTTTCTTCCAAGACATAATGTACAGTACATACCCACCCTGTAAATTTTAAATCTAATTTTTATACAAATTATTATATTAATACGTAAAAAGAAATTTTTAACTAAATATAATATTTGTTAAACATTTCTTAGATACTATAGTACATTCTATTAGTGTATAACACATATTAAGCGAGAAAGCTATAAATAATGTATAGAATTTAAGTGTATTAAACACAGCCTATCCATTCTAATAAATTTATAACTAGCAGACCCCGCCACGAGTTGTTGTGGCTTAAAATGTATCTATTATAAATGTATAAAACTTCCCC